AGCTTTCCACGGCAAGACTCTACGGGGTGGCTGCCCCGTACCACAGTCTCAGCCTGCGTTTCACGGCAGGTCTGATCCAGCAAACCTGTTCAGTCAGCAGAGGCACAAGGGTGACTCTGGCCCCCGTAGACGGCTTGTTGTTTGCGAGGCCGAAGGTTTCAAAGGCCGTAACTGTACACATCCCTGCAGGGCCGTGGGGTTTGGTGGATGATATTTCATGCCAGGCAATGGGGGAGTCCAAGGCAGGCAGGTGCCAAGCGCTTCCTTGGCCTGGCAGGGAGCAGGCTGAGGCTCCCACACGGGACCTTGTCTTTATTCTGGGGCCGTAAGAAGCCAGAGGAAGACTCTTCTTCCTCCGCGGGCAAACCTGTTCCCTCCAAACCAAACCAAACCTCAGTCCTTTTGGCTCCAAGGAGAAACTGGTGCCTGACTGCTCTCCACCACCTCCTATTTGCTCCCAGCTGTCTTCTTCTAGTTCCTGGGAGGGAAGGGGACTCTCACCCCATTTTTTTCTCCTCTGAAAAGAGGCTCCCGAAGGAGTGAAAGGTAGGGCCAGGCCCAGATCTCAGGGCCAGGCTCCCGGCTGTGGCCCACACTGCCATCCTCTGGCCGCTGGCTTCGTGGCTCAGCTCCTGGGGACCAGTCCGGCTCCACTTGGGTTTAGCTCCACAGCCCCCCTGCAGCCAGGACACCCCCAAGCACAGGATGCTTTTGCAAAGGAGATCCCAGTCCACATCAGGTAGGTAGTCACTTCTCCAGGAGAAATACGGTGGAAAGTAGAGGTAGGCACCTCTCTCTTCGTAGGATCTGAAGCCTCCAACCTTCTTCTGAGGATGGGGATGTCATGGGACTGGAGGGCTGTCATTAGAAGTAACTTCTGGGCTGGAAGACAGTGACGTCCCCACGGCATAGGGCATGGTGGGAGGGGAACCATCGTGCAGCTGGGAAGAGGCACCTCTGGGCACGTATGGGCAGCCACAGGTAAGTGCCAAAGCTTAGCTGCGGTGCAAAGGATCACGACTAGGTGTAGGTAGCACGTGGCAGGAGGAGTGGGTCACTGCCAGGATCTCCCATGGGTTTTCATCCAAACTAAGCGGTATCTAAATGAACTGAATCCTACCACAGTCTTCATGTGCCTCTGTGGAGGTGGCCACAGGAGTACCACAGCTTTTCCACCTCTGTCCAGGACACGGGTCTTCAAAATCCCTTCTCAGCTGAGACCTGATCCAGACCATACCCCAAGGCACCTACACTTCTGCTAGGAGTGTTGCTCTATCAGTTTTCCAGCACAGCCGTAAACCCCTAAATTTTAATGTGGCAGTGACCTGTAAGGCAGGATCCCTGATCTGAGCAGCTCCCCCACCCCGTTTTATCTCATTCACAGGAAAATATGTCAGGAAGCATGAATCCGGCCCAGGTCTCAGACAGCCCGGCTGGCAGGGACTCCTTCCCCACCACACCACAGCCCTGAGATGCTCAGCCAGGGTCCCACCTCTTTCTGAAGTCATTCGTGGTCTCCTCAACCATGACTCTGGGTGGGTCTTTTTGTGCCTCTTTTTAAAGCTGGTTTACTTTGCATGGCCTAATTAATTAGTCGTTGATGGAGGAGGGAAGGAGGCAGCAACTTGCTGGCTCAGCAGTGCATTTAGCGGGGAAGAGGGAGCCCTGTACCACTGGCTACTTCACCTAGTTCGGTGTCCGGGAGAAGGGGGCTGAGATCTGGTGTGCCCAGCCGCACGGGGAATGCCCTGACCCAGTCATCTTCAGCCTGCTTTGATTTCTACACTCCCAAAATACTTTCCAGCAGAAGCGTGGCCACCTAGAAAACAACCCACCTGCAAACAGCTCTGTAGCAAATATGACCTTGGATTACTTCATCCCCTTTCACAGATCCCTCCATGCACATGCGGACCGACAGCCACTGCCAGCCTGCGTGACAGGGTCACTTCGGCTCTCTTTTTCTGATTTAACGCACAATTAGCCCCAGCTTCTCCCAGAGGGACCTCAGACTGCCCACCCCAGGTATCCCAAACCTGTGGCGAGATGCATTGGAGCAACGCCTCTGGTTTCTCTTGAACGGAACAGAGAAGGGCCTCTTATTTTTTTTTTTTTGGTGTCTGCTGCCTGTGACACAGGGGAGAATGCACCGAGGGAGGGAGCTGACTGCTTCTCGCCGGGTGCCTGCCCCATCCCCTCAACGCTACGAGAAGGATTTTGGCCATGGATTCCCAGTGTCCGGCCCCACTATCCCCAGCCCTGTTCCCCCCAGGGTTCCCGTAGCTCTGGGCTGGCCCAGGCCCTTCTGCCAAGCCCCGTCCCGGTTCCTGGTGTCCCCCCCCCGGTCCCCTCTCCACCGGTGACGGGGCTCCATCTAGTGCCGGTTGCGGCGGCGGGACGGGGACCGCGGCGTCCCGGGTGGGGGCATCCCACGGGGAGGTCCCTTCGGGAGAAGGCTGCTGGCTCCGAAGGGTTCTTCGGGAGGGAAAACGGGAAAGAAAATTAAGGCCAATTCCTCAAGGCGCCTTGTCTTGCAGTGGGGGTTGTCAAAGGTTTCTTTCTTGTTCTTGCTGTTAGTGCTAACGAGGAGAGGGGCACTCCGCACTCGTAGCTGACCTCAGCCCCTTCTGTTCCTCTTCTTCCCAGCTTAATGATTACTGAATCTTTGTCAGGCTCTGCCTAACTTAATGCATCTAGCTTAGACTAATGGCGTCTCTGCTGGAGGTCTTCAAATAAGCTTAATTCTCTCCATTCACTACAGGGGGAATTTAGCACTTTCTCCAGAGAATCTACTCCAGAGTTTAGGGAGCAAGGGTCTGGGTCCTAACAAGAGAAATGTGGGTATTTTCCTTCAAGAATCATGAAATGGCTCCTTAAATAGCACTGTCTGTGGCTCTGCACAAACCTCAGGAATGGACCAGCTCTGTCGGAAGCATCCTGGAAAGGAAATGTGCTCCTAAAAGATATTATTTTTCACTGAAAACCTCCTGTAGCTTTGTTCCAACCCTCTCCGCTGTGTGGAGAAGGAGATGCACAATGCTCCACGTGTCCAGCCCTTACAGGAGGGTCTTTCTCCTGACCATACTTTTTCACAGAGTGCTGTGTTGCCTGAGCTGCTTTTCACGTGTGCATCACGAGGAGTTTGTGTTAGCGCCAAGATTCTCCATTTGCCTCTATATTCCCGAGTCTCAGCTCAGTAGCGATGATGGGGCCAGATGATGTCTGTCCACTCCTTTTTTTAATCCAGTGGAAAAACATTTGACGCAACTCCCTGGCATGTTTTAAAACACATGGGATTCCCATCTGCTCCTCTATGAGCCAAATTCACATCTGCTTAGCTTCCAGGGCCAGCTAGGCTTGGACACAATCAGTTCAGCATTAAGCTCCTCTAGCTCTGAGGGCTGAAAACTCCTGTCTGCACAAGGCGCTCAACTCTCACTTTCCAGCCGGTGCAGGCTGTGTCTTAATGGTGCTGAACAGTGACATCTCGTTGCTGAACACTTTGAAAATTTTTTTATGAGTATGTTAAAAGTCATATACATTTTCCAGAAAATGCAATGTTAAAGTTTTATTTCTGTCTTCGTATTTCCAAATTATTCTTCAGCAGTTTATATCTGATTAAAAAATCAATGCTTCCTTGCTAATTCAACAATGTTAACAAAAATATACAATTCATAATCGCTGTATTACAATGTTAATTATTTTCAGGCAATGTTAGTAAAGAGCAGGTCAATTTATGTGACAGCATATTCTACCCAAACAGCTATTCACTTATAACACTTGCTACTGTAAATCCTAACTGCAGTTAGCATCTTGTAAAATGTAAAAGAAAAGAAAACTATTTACCAGTATTTCTCATCTTGATTCACTGTGATATAGACAGATGCGTCCTGTTAATCATTATGAAAGCTGTATTTACAAATCCCCAAACCTCATCATGGAAATAACATGTCTTTTTATCTATATTAAAAACCCATCAAGCCTCTGGTTATTGTCCTGAGAGTCTGGGAGAAAGTTAGAGATGTACTCACATTTAATTGCAGCAGGGTTCATAAACCCAGGCTAACTTCTGGGAACTGGGAGTCATGATATGACACTCCTAAATTGCTACAGAAGATAATTTCTTTTAAATTAAACATTTTTATTTGATATTAAAACACACAAAGCCCAAGGAATGGAATTAGCTATAACTCAGTCAAAGTGAGACTTCCAGTTGGAGTCTGCCATCTGGATTTTCCAGAGCAGAGAGGCAGAAGGTCGTCTTCAAATATCACACCTCCTGTTTGTTTTAGATGCCTATTTTAGGTAGAAAGGAATCACTCCCTGTAGGTGCCTAGCTCTTGTCAGCAGGTGCAGAATGTAGCCTGGATGACTAAAGACAACCCGAGTACCTAAAGCTCAATGAAATGAACTCACCTGAACCGGACACCTGTTGGGAACTTCACAGCAATGGAGGTGTTCAGGATAAGAGAGTTACACACACTCAGATTTATAGTTCCTTTTAAAACAAGGCTGATATTTTAAAATTTGGGCATCTAAAGTTGGCTACTCCAATGGCCTTTTTTTCCAACACTCGCTGACATCTGGAGATGCAGAGGTGAGTAGCACTTCTGGAAATCACACCAGTTCTCTTCAGATGCATCATCCGTGCTTGTAAACATCAACTAAAAACCCATGGATTTTCTTGTGTTTGCTTGCAATGTGGCAAGAACAGTCTGAATTCAATGCACTGATTAGACGCTATTTACATAAAACCAGGAAAATAGATATCCAGTTGTAGAGAGACAGAGAAAAGACCATTGCTTCTGTCTTGCGATAGATGTGTTTGCTGAATTCAAAGAAATGAGTTGTGTCTTCTCCTCAAAGTAACACAAATACGGACTGGCCCATAAGAAGTGTGAATAGAGCAGCAGTTGGTAATATTTTCTTTTCTTAGTGGTCATATGAAACATTTATGCTGCACAGAGTTTATGAAAATACTGAGATAAAATCCAGAACCCAGATTATTTTTCAACCTCAGAGTCTTCATGCTGGAGCACGGTTGGGGATAGCAGAGATTCCTCGTCCCTGCTTACACGTGGTTTAGTTTTGATGCTGAACTTGTGTGTAGAAACATTCTTCGTATTCTGGTAAACCTAGAATTGGGAAGAGGAAATAAAAGATATCTTCTGTTATTACTTACTGTACTTGGAAAACTGCTTTTCTCCCTGTGAAGCAGGCACTTGTAAGGTACAGCTCACCTCCTCTTGAGGGAGAACCACTCTTATATCTGCCCCTTTCCTTCCCACTGACTCCAGAGGGAGCCCAGACAACTGCCTGAGTGAGGTGGATCTAATCCAGCCCAACAGAGCTGGGTTGAGGAAGGTCATTGGACAGCAAAGGAGTAATTTTTCTTCCAGGTACAGTGCTTTGAAGTTGCTCATTAGTTTGCCTCTACGCTTGACAGCTTCTGCCAGGTTAACAGCCTACAGAAAGGCTCAAGCCTGCAAAGGCAAGAGTCGTTCATAGCTCCCCACATCCCAAAAGGTTCGCAAGGACACTGCACTGGGAAATAGTGTGTCTAGCCCAGAGTGGATACCCAGGTAGGAATCGGTAGTTTAGAAAGGAGTTGCTTATCCTCCCCGAGGAAGAGACCACCGTCTGGTAAGGATGGACTATGACTTCCTCAGATCCTGTTTATTATTCTGAGCTTTGAGATTGACATAGGGCCTTCCGTCTGGGAGGACGTGGCAGCACGTACTTCTGGTGGCCCCCCATGAGATCCCTGGCAGGTAGCCCAGGCTCAGCTCCCCTCCAATGACAGCTATCAGCACCACCAAAGCCAACTGCACTGGCTCCTGCGCAAGGGAAGCACATTCCCATAGCACAGGCTGAGAGATTTCAGCCTTCCAGAGTCCCAGTGCAGGCAGCGGGAGGAAAGATATCCTCATCAGGGAGGTCAGGATTCCTTCTGATGGCAGAAAAAAAACATCCCCAAACTCTTACATAGATCCATGGGAAATGTTTCCATAGCACAGTGGTGCACTTGAATAGAAACCAGACTATTTCTCAGCTCATTGTGATCTATGGGGCTACATAAAAAAAAAAAAAAAAATATTTTTTTCTTCTTTCTGTGTTTACTTACTGCTCCTTCTGCCTCAGACAGCTGACAGGCAAGAGAGGAAACCAGCCACGAAAAAGATGGTCTTTTTCTGGAGTCAAGGGCCCAACAAGACTGCATCACACGATAGCTGTAGGACCAAAGAGGTGGTACAGAAAACATGTTAGCTGTTGGACTCTCTGTAAGCAACTTACCTGGAAGTGCAGAATTTGGATGGGAATCACCAGAATGATTTTCTAGAAAGAGGCCAGATGTAGCGTGTTGCATCAGAGGAAAAGATACAGAAAGATAAGGACAAAGGGTGAAATGAAGAACATGGCTTTACCAGAGTCATTAGTAAAATCCTCCTCATAGGACTGGGGCCAGGATTTCACCCTGGCTGGCACGTGCTGGCATGCTAACCTTGTTTTCCAGCTTCCATACAGAAAATGGTTGGAAGACAATTCCTGTCTGTCTCTGGGGCTAAACCTGCACCTTGTGGACTCTATAGTCTTGAGGACACTTTTCACAGTGAGTCTTTTTATGTAATGTGACATCACAAAAACCTTTCTGAAGTTTAAATGCCACCTTAGAGATTTTGCAGTTTCATCAGGGACCAGTGCAGTGCCTATCTGCTAGAGTTCCTTGCAAACTTACCAGGTCAATAGGTTCCCTGACGTTTATAAGCCCCACAGCAACATTTCATGGGTCAATCTGTCAGATTCACCTGCACCTATAATGCCATTACATTCTTTACATGGAGAGGATGAGAACAGTATAGTGTCATAGCAAGGCACTGAGTCCCTAGACCATCTATGAAATATCTGCCAGAAGAGCTCAGACCACCCAAAGTCCTTCCCTTTCCTCCATGCTCCAGGTCTCATAGGTCCCCATCACCTTCTCTTCTCTTGTCCCCTGGGGTCCAGCTCTAGTCAGAGTCCACCCAGGCATAGGCAGAAAATCATGTGCTGAGAGCACAGGAATAGCTCCTGCCAACTCTTCCTTAGCAGGGTATTTCTCTAAGAGGATCCCTAGCCTCCTGGAACTGAATTAAACATGCTAAAGCTCAATTAAAAAAAAAAAAAGAAAGTTTAGCAAAAAAATCACCAAAGACTTAGTTACTATCCAAAATGAATATGGTATAACATAGCTTTTGCAAAAATAATAAAAACAAAAACAAAACAAAAAAAACCCCGAAAAGAAAAAACAAATCTGTGATCTGAGAACAAGAAGTTCCCTGGGAAAGGAAGGCCCAATTAAATAAAGATAATAAATTAGTCCTTTCAAACACACACAACCTTCAGTGTTGATCACTTCTGCTGTAGGACAAAACCTGCAGGATCAAGCAGCCTTTTTTCAGAGCTAGAGGAATATTTCACCTTGTGTGATTTTTTTTGAGCAAAGTACAGTGTACAATAAATAAAAGGTCATACAAACAGTGACCTGGTAAGTATAAATGCCCATGCTGTGCATCACTCAGAAAATATACTTACACATCTTTTGTAGCATAATACGGTGGGTCCATTTTAAATCCACTTTGTATTAATTTGTAGAATTTTGTATCAACTTGAATACCAGGGTAGGGATTTACACCTACAGAAAACATTGGGGAATACATGTTAATTCAGAAGTTGCCAAAACCAGGCAGTGCTCTTTTGTTGCATTACAGAACATACCCAAAGAGAATATTTCCCACAGTAATATTCCATAAGACCAGACATCACTCTTCATTGTGTACGTCCTCTCAAATAAGCTTTCAGGAGCCATCCACTTAACTGGTAAACGAGCCTGTACAGACAGGGGGAAAGGAGGCCAGGTCATGCTGTGACACGGGGTTTCTAGATGTCTCACTAGTTCTCACTGCTTGAGTAGGATCAGTTCATGTGTGCTACCGTGAAAAGCTGGGCCTCCCTCAGCAGCCCCTTTAAATTTCCCTTAAAGAGAGAATTAGGCACTTCTCAGGAACCAATTAATCTCATCCATTTTAGGTGACTATTGAAGGAGGAGATGAGCTCAGCCCTGAAACAGCCCCCTTTCCTCCTCTGACTTCCAGAGTGAGTAGCTCGGATGGAGATGTCCACTCTGAACTTCATCGTACAGCTGGAGGATCGGGTGTACCCCACACATGTGCTACTGTCCCTATGCTATTATTGTCCATAACAGTAAGCAATTCCCAGCATTTTCCATCGACGGATTTCAGTGTGCTTTAGAAAGCACATGGGTACCATCTCATTTACAGTACTAGCTTGATTAGGTTAATTATAAGCTAAGAAACTGAATTTGCCAAGGGTAGGAAAAAGGGAGATTTCTGCACTGCCTCTACAGATATCTATAAAGCTAACAAGGAATTTGAAAATGAAAAGCTTTACTTTCTTGGTTCCTTATCATTCTTACCACAGTATGCAAAATAGAGAGCACTCAGGAACTCACATTGCCCCTGACAATGTAGTCGGAGTTGTTCACTACATCTCTGGCAAGGCCGAAGTCACATATTTTCACCACTTTTCCATGGGTCACTAGTATATTCCGGGCAGCGAGGTCTCTGTGAATGCACTTAGAAGGAAAGGAATGGTTAATGCTCTGCAGCATTCGGTATCAGAAAGACATAATTCCCTGGTCTCACATAGAGCTCTCTGAATTGTTGCCTCTTTCCACTTAAGCAGTTCGGGGAACGAACAAGCTGGACAGTCCCCGGTTGCTCGTGACAAGGGACAGGACCAGAGCAGGCAGAAGCGTGCAGCCGCTTCTTACTGAGGGCCACGTCTAATATTGCAAGACAGACTTTGCCATAAAGCTGGGGAAGGTGGTATAGTTCAAGCCTGCCACTGTGTGGCTCTGTTCCTCAGCCTGCCTTTTATAGACACATGTATTTTTGCCGTCTTTTCTATCTAAACAGTTTGTTACCCTTCACCATACCGATTTGGACCCAAGAAACTCCATTCCTTTGGCGACTTGGTAAGAGAAGCAAAGAAGGTCTTCAAAAGTGAGCACATTAAAATCCTCTTCTTCATCCATCTGTCTGCTTGCATGCTTAATTTTATCTGTGAAAAATAGCCAGGAGTATGAGTTTTCCATGGTCTTCCTCACTCTCTGATTAATTCTACTGACTGTCATAAGGATTTTCACGTGCTCCTACCAAGAACAACAGCACAAAGAGCATCCTTCTTTTGCATCCTTTGCTCAGACACAAAATAAAGGAAAGGGTATTTTAATACTCAAATACTATGTATAGCATGACCAGAAACAGAAGCCTCTGGTCTTAAGTGTTGTTGAATCCTTCTCCAGCAAAACTTCTGCCAGGAGGGAAGAGAGACATATGATAGAAAGGGCACCCCCGTGCCACTGAATCTAGTCTGGTTAGATCAATAATGTAATAAATACTATAATAACAGAATTACTAGAGATAAAAGCCATTAATCTCTTACCTTCCTCAGAATACAGCGCAATCCTATTTGATCCAGGTGTCACATTCATGTTTTGACTTCTTTGTGTGATTTCAAATTCATCCTCTCTGTATAGAGTCGTATTCAGACTGTACTTCAGGTGGGTTCCCCTCCTAGAGTGGATGGCACATTTTCAAAGGTTACACAGTGTATCACATAATCTTCTACACATACACTATTTTGCAGTGAAAAAGCATGATCCGTTATTGCTATTAAAAATCTGGGCACAGACATGAGTCTTCTCAAAAGTGGAAAGAGAAACAAGAGATTGCTTGTCTTTCACAGTCCAGTGAGAAGACTCCATCATAAGGAGAATCAAATCTCAGTTCCTCCCAAGCCATTGCTTATTAAAGTATGTGAAGGCACATCATTGTCAAGAATTCAATAATTTCACCAGTTAACAGCACAGCTGAGAATGCAGCTTAAAAAGAGACAGAGACAGTAGCTTTATAAAGTATTAAACTGTTGCCGAATGCTTTACCTGGAATTTTGCTCCAAATGGATATTGTGGTAAAAGCTGAAGTTGTGCTGTTTAAAAATATCTGTCAGTGTCCAGTGAAACTTTTCTCTCTTGCTCCTTAAGTAGTTTAGAAGGTCACCATAGCAACAGTATTCAAATATCAAGTAGATTGGTCCTGAAATAGTTGGACATGTAAATGCCACCTGCTATCTATAGCGATCTCCCCATTAAAACCCTAATGATGCCTCATCCTCTCCCAGGACTAATCTGTACTAAACATCCCAAGCATCTCCCCTTCCCAGGTGGATAACCTGTACTGATGGGCAGGTAATCTTGACTGACTGTAATGTCCCTTTGGAAAGTCTGTGTAGCTGATTCATCCCTGTGGTGCATCTCCCAAGGCGGACTGCAAATCCCTGTCAAGGCACGAAGATCCTTCCCCATACCAATGGCACTGGGGAGGACAGCACAGGCTATAAAGGTGCAACATATTGTCTAAACCATACGTGGTTCAAGCAGAAGATGACCCCTGCTAATTATCTCAACTGTGTGAATTGGTATCCTTTGACCTATGCCCTTTCATTTATCTGCGCTACCTTCATGCTCTAGAAATACCCTTTTTTTCCTACGAAGGCCACCTGAAACCCAAGCGTGCTTGCTGAGATGACCTATAGGAAGGAAAGACCTTGCAAGGGGATGTGTCTGAGTGGAGCACTGGTCAGGCCACTTTCTCAGGAAAGGAAAACCACCTCCAATTCCCCACCCAGGCAGGCTCAGAGAACAGCCATGACAAGCCAGCGGGAGCAGAACGCATGGCCCAGGAGCTCAGAGCGGTCACACATCACCCCTGCAAAGTCTTACACCGTCATCACCGCTTTTGGCTCAGAAAGACCGACTACGAATTTGTGGACATTTCTGCCAGAAGGGCCCTGTCAAGCAAGGCAGGGCATGCTGGAAAAAGCCTGTAAAGTCTCTCAGAGGATAGATTTGAATGTCCTGAGACCCATGTAAATGCTTCTGAACACGGGGCTTGGATAAGGCTGGAAGCGTTCCTGCCCTACCCTGCCAGACTAAGCAGGTCTTCCCTGCAGCTCTCCTGCCTGCCATCACATCTTGCCGAATTTTCCAGAAGGCAGTGGCAGCGTGTATAGTTTCAAACCAGCTAAAGCCACCACCACCAATCTACTTCTCTGCTTTCCTCTTATGCCTCAAATATCTTTGCACGACAGTATTGCTGTTGATGCAAACTGGGGAAACAAGAGTTAACTGTTCTCTTTGGTCTTTCTGACTTAAAAAATATCTGTGGCAGAAAATCTGTCAAGTCTTTCAGTGGCAGATGTTATAATTCATGATATGGACAAACAGTGGGTAAACCCCTGCCCTTTCCCCAAGGTGATGTGTTCTTTAGCCTCTCTTCATCTGCCCCGGTTTGCTGCTGGACTGGCCAGAGAAGGAGTTTGTGGGACAAGAATATCTGTGTATGTTGCCTCAATGATAACATGAGTTACACAATAACTTTAGTGTATAATTAGTGATAATACCTTGCCACTTTCATCTTAGTCCATCTTTGCTTAGTTCTTCACATCTTCAGTTTATTTTTACATTAAATCCTTTAAAAAGTTCTCTCTCTTTTCATTATTCACTTCTCTCCTCTTTCTTTGGGTGTCCCTCCTGCCCACCCCTGTTCTTTTTCAGTTTCTTTTCATTCCTGTCTAGCTTTTAGTTATTTTCCCCTTTCTTTCTACAACCTCACTGTATGACAAGGCACACAATTTAAGAAAAAAAAAAAATTATGATTTCTTATTTGAACATAATCACGTGGATACAAAAGTACCTTACACCAGATAAGTTTTTCCTTTTCACTTACTAAACTGGCCTGTATCAGTGCCATCACCACTGTAACAGGAAAACCTCTTCTATAGAAAGGCTGTTATATCACTTCATGCAAGTACAATTAGAAAGGACTTATTTCTGTACACATGCGTGGCCTTAACTTTGCTTTCAGTTCATCTTCATCTTATTTTGGGCCAGCACAGAACAGTAAAATTGGTTGGGCAAAGACAGGATTCAGGGGTGAAGAGAGAAACAGCAGCCTGAGGAATAGGTGATTAATTATGGCTTGGATGTTTTTAATACTGCTTTCAAGAGTCAATTTTTGATACTTCTCTTCTGTTCAGGAGTCCTCATTAGTCTGGAAGTTTTTAATTGGTACCTTTCCACAATTGCGAGTTACCTGACACAGTACAAGCTCCTAGGAGGTTCACAATATTTTCATGGCTTCCAATGTGAGTCATCATTTTCAGCTCAGACATTAGAGCATCTTCTTCGGAAGCTTCAGGTTTTTCTGTAAAAGTGATAACACAGATTTGGAAATCTCCAGCAAAGAAATAAAAATGTAAATGGTTGTGATGCTTTGTCACCTGCGAGTCTTCATTTCAAATTCATTGGACTGACAGTACATTTGGGAACATCCTAAAAAATTGTTGTACAGTATAAAAAGATTTGGCCAAAGGTGGAAAGTAAATGTGTGTGTGAGTGTGGATCATTTAAATGCTTGGGAAAGCAGTCATAAAATGTTAATAGTTGTCATTCTTGGGCTGGCAAGGAATGACAGCAGTGTAGTAAGGTGTTCACAAGCACAGAAAAAATGTCATTCAGCCCTGTTGGAGAGAAATGCTATAAGAAAAAAAGTCTTAACAGACATATGGCATGCAACCAGTTGCAAACCAATAGCTAAGAAGGCCACGCTGTGTTTCAGTAATAGCTTTAGCCTTGTTTTTCAGCAAGCATTTGGTCCTCATCATCTCAGTGAACTGGGGATGTGAACCAAAACGATCGAGTTGAATTTCCATAAAGACAACCGCAAAGGAGCAGACCAAGGAAGCATAAAGCTGATGCACATATGCAAATAGGGGATGAAGAGCTGGACGGCAGTGCTGGCAGGAAGGGAATGTGCTGGCAAACAGGTGAGCAGGGTGCTGGTGCTGGTGTGAACCTCATCCCATTACGTACCAACAGGTGGGTGAGGTGGGTGTCGGTCTCTTTTCCCAAGTAACAAGCGATAGGACAAGAGGAAACAGCCTCAGGTTGCGCCAGGGGAGGTTTAGATTGGATATTAGGAAAAATTTCTTCACCGAAAAGGGCTGTCAAGCATTGGAACAGGCTGCCCAGGGAAGTGGTGGAGTCACCATCCCTGGAGGTATTTGAAAGATGTGCAGATGTGGTGCTTAGGGACATGGTTTAGTGGTGGACTTGGCAGTGTTAGGTTAATGGTTGGACTTGATGGTCTTAATGGTCTTTTCCAACCTAAATGATTCTGTAATTCTATGATTCTGTGAACAGAGTTGTGATACTTGGGATGCAGTGAAGCAGCCCTCCTCCTCTGCTTGCTGCCAGGGAGGCTTGCTCCTGGACACTGCTTTTATGAGGGGGTCAAGACAGTTTGGAGAGAGGCCAGAGCAAAGCAGCAAGGAGTATTAGAGGTTTAAGAAGCCTGACTCATAAGGAGGGATGGAAAGAAATTCCTTTGTGTCATCAAGAAGAAAAGACTACAGGTAGATGTGCTGGAAGTTTTGCAAACAAGCTAGCTCAGACACAGAAGGTAAAGGGAGAGCAACAGCTAGACAGCACTACGAGAAAAAGGGATTTTACATCAAAGTCCACAGAGATGCCAATGTGACCAGCAGGCTAATCTGCACTATGAATTTGCATTCATCCTCTTTAGAGCCGAGCAGCTCCATCCTTCCCCACACAACGCAGACCTTCTCTGGTGTGTAGGACAAAATGCAACATGCTGCAGGAAGAAGGCACTTCAGTAATACCTTTCCAAACTGAAACAGGATTTTGAAAGCATTTTGAAAGGATCTTGAAACCAAGTATTTGTGAGGTGTAACTGCTAAAAGTTTGTATATAAAGGGATTTCCAACACTGCTTCTGCTTTGGAGCTGCTAGAATACATCACTGCTTGCGAAAGGCACCCAGAATTTATCGTACCTTTTAGCATTTTGACTGCGACCTGGACTGAATCTCCTGCATTGTTAATTCCATAAGCTGTTGCATTCACCACTCTCCCAAAAGCCCCAGAACCGAGGACCTGTCCTACAAGACACAATATGCCAATATTATTCGCAGCTGGTACAGCACAGGCTACTACTCCAGCATTGGTGTTTGCCTTGCAGGCTGCTTACCAAATTCCAGATTTTCCCTGGGAAATTCCCATTTGAGGTCATATTCGAATTCTCTGAAGTCGATGTAGATGTACTCGTTATCCGATGGGCCTATCATCTGTATCATTTGCAACTGGCTTTCGTATCTGAATTGCTTTGGAAGAAAAAAACAGTGGAATAAATCTTAGAGGAGAAGCAGCAGCCTGGTAAGAACAAAAGAAGAAGGGGCAAGTATTTATGTTTGCTTTTACCTTTTTGTATTTATGAAAAATGAATACAAACAAAAAAGCGATCAATAGGAGGAAAAATCCAACAGAGACATAGAATGCAGCATTGTCCGGGGGGGAAGAAACAGCTCCTGCAACTTTAAGAGATACATATTACTACCCACTGAATGAGAGCTTGTGTATACAGCTAAAGGTGCAAGGAGAACTCGTGGTGGCTTGGTCAGTTCTGCCAGTTTGCAGTCCTCTCATGCCTGAGCCTCTTCTGCACCGGGAATGAGATGGAGCCACATGCAAAGCAAGGAACTGGGCAGGAGGTGTTATGTGCAGGGCAGTTCTGACATCTGTTTTAATTAAAAAAAAAATGCTACACCAATTAATAAATCTAAGTGAACAGAGGTGTTGGTGTGATCCATGGATTGGACTTTGTGAGCATAAACAGGAATAACCAATTCCTCTTCTCATCGCATCTCCCTCCTCTCTCCCTGCGCCTTCCCCCAAGCAATGTACGTTAGGTACCGAAGCACCAGTTCGCAGCGGGTGGGCTGTACACAACCTGCTGGGAGCATGGCTCTGCCGCTCAGCCAGGACCAATCTTAACAAGCCAAGACCATACTAGAAGGCACCAGTGGGTAGGTGAAAATTACATGAGACCTACCCTCATATTCTGGTAGCTTCTAAGAGCATAAGTATTATGCTTACTTTCTATTGTAATTTCAACGTGAATGCTCAAACTCTATCAGTAGTCACAGCTTCTGCCAGCTGTAGTCAAAAGCACCAAACAGCTTGTTTATCCATGACAAAGGAAATCTCTGTACTGCAGATATCTGGGTGCTTCAAAACACTTCCCAGATGCCACAGCATGTTCCCTGTACCTGAAATATTTTGCCCTGTGGAATGTATATGGTGTTACAAGTATAAAGTGCACGGGCAAACAATCATATTGACTTTCTTGTTCAACAAGGAAAGAATCTCTCATGCCCTTGACAAGAAGAGAGACTGCACAGCAGTTCCCAAACCAGGGCTTAGCCTTCTGCCACCTGCCTACAGCAGTTGAAGAAGGTCTCTCCCCCGGTACTCACTCCTGTTTCCCAGACAGGGACTGACTCTTGAGTGGGTCTGGTAGTTCAGTCACTCTCTTGCTTGGGCGTGCAATAACCTCCCTGGGGTGAGGAGAGGTCCCACGGGCATTTCTGGCAGCACCACAGTGACCTCCAGGAGAGGAACAACAGCCAACATCTGCCAGCAGCTACCAAAGTGGCTTCAGCTCTTCCCAAAGCTGATGCCTCCAGGTTTTGGGTAGGAATTACTAAGATGAAATAAAAAAAGCAGACCCCAGCATTGCCATGGCTCCATCCTGCACTTCCTATTTGTGTAAAATTTCTGCTCATTTTAATGAGGGTGGCCCCTGCTTTGGGACCAGAGAAAAGAGACACGTGTCTCCCACTCACCCACTGTTTCCCACACTGTAGACACACAGCGCTTGTGTTTTACCTGCAGTGCCATTGCACAGTCAGCCATTTAGCCAGATAAAAAAATACCGTACGTTGTACCACGCCAGCTTTAATTGAGAAAACCTGTGCTAAAACACTGGCTTATGGTACCTGACAGGTTAATGAAACTCCTTTCACAGGCTGAACCGGCAGAATTGTTTGCACAGCACTCCACGGAGAAGTTTGTTGCTGTCTCCTTTACATGTAAAGTACTGCTTGAAATCCACAACCCCAGGGATCTCCTCTCTGGCAAGAAGTTGTGAATCCCCTCAGTGATTTCTTCTGTACAGCTGAAAAAGAAAGCAGACCAGTTTTGATTTTTGGCTCACGGTGGCATTTTCCAGGGGAGAAGATGGGATGCTTCGAAACACGTCTTACGTCTGTGTTGGAAGGGAGGCGAGGAGGGAGGGATAGAGGGTTTGGGTTTTATTTGTCACTGTTAGAGTGAGGCTTCAGAGCAGTCGCCAGTCTTATTTTTTTGTGATGGACATGGCAGGGTCAGCAGGGGGTGAACTGGGCTCCCCACCTCCTACACTGGGCTTACTCCCACGCTCCAGCACTGCCTTGGCAGGGCACCCGCAACCCCAACCTCCAGGAGCTCCACCAATTTCACAGCAGACACGACCCCCGCCACCACGTCTATTCCCACTGGTTTCAGCTTTACCTCAAACACTCAAACCGCTGAGCAGTTCCAAATGAGCCGCTACTAAAACAATAACTCCAAAATGAACCCACAGTAAAAGTTCTAACTCCTTTCCCTGAAGGTATGTGCTTTCAACCATGAAGTTTCTGTCACTCAAGATGGAGAGCATCCACCCTGTATTAATGACTTACTTAAGACCTGATATGTAGAAAGAGGGAATGTTATACTCGAGGGAAAGAAAGCCAACACAGAGATAATTTCACTTTCAGTTTTTCTATCATTCATCAGCTTACTGCCTAATTTACTGTCCACATAAATAAATGAGAAAGTAAGTAAATAAATAAAATTTATTCAGCTCTACACATAGTACTAGCTTCTACATGTGGAAGTTCCCAAGAAAAGAAATGTCACAGCATTTTCTTTCCAGAAAGCTATTTTAAGGAGTATTTTAAACTCACTGTTTTCTTTCCTCTTCCATTTCTGCACAGATTGATGTTAGGAAGCCTTTTGAGAGGTATGGATGAGAAAATGGTCTAGATATTTTTTTATATCTAGTTAAAATACTTAGAGCTTTATCCACAATCTTCCAAAAGATAATTTGAACCAGTACTCTTCTGCACCATGGGATTATTAGTTCTTTGGCATATCTAAAATAAAAGATGCTTAGTTCATAAAACAGCTCAAAGCTGTTTCAGCATCTCTTGAAATTTTAGGGCCTGACTCATTGCCCTAAATAAATAGAGGAAATGGAAACACTCTCACTAACTTTACTGGAAACACTCTCACTGATTTTACTGGCTTTGGTAACATGTCACTGTAAGAGCTGTATTAACCAAAGCTTAACCAATTAATCAAGCCCCCATTAACCAATTCATTCCCTGAATGCCCTCTAAGTTTGACAGGCCAAGAGAAAAACTTAGATTAGACTTTGCAACTACCTAATTGTTGATATAAACCCAGTGGGGTTTATTTCAGTGTAAAGAGCCTGAGATACAGATCTTTATAGACTTCATTTAATGCCAACAAAAAAATTGAAAACTTCCCCTAGTTTTGGTGATCTGGTTCCCCTGGGGTGGGCCCACATCCCCTTGTACAAATGGTCGAGGGTGCATTTTACACTTAGTTTCTTACAGGCCAGTCTTCATTTAACCAAGGATAGCTCAGATATGGTCTTTGCAATGAATCAAAAAGAGGGAAAATGATTTACGTAGATGAGTTCAGTTTGGGACAGTTCCTCCAAACCCAGGATGAGGCAGGGTAACTGTCAGCGAAGCAGGAGATCTGCTTGAACAACAACTGCATCGTTATTTCAGGCTTTCCTGCAGCAAGATAACATAAGACAAATTTCTGTCAGCACTTCAGTGACCAAATCCTTTACATTTACGTGGCAATGCTACGTTTGCCAAGACCAAGATCTGATTCTGTGTCTTCAAAATAACCCACCCGCATGTCCCTGTGAGATCTGCGTGCAGCCCTCGGTCCTCCTTCCTCCAGCCCCGCACCTCAGTTCTGCGGGATGGCAGCAAGGGCAAGGCGAGGGGAGCAGCCACTTCTCTGTACAGGCACAGCCAGACCAAAACAGTGGCAGAGCCAAAATTAGAAGTCTCGACTTCTGCTTTTCTGAAGCAAGAAGCAAGCGTTCGGCCCTAGGACTCCCCTGCACCCCAGTTCCAGGTGTCCGGCTTGTACAAAATGGGCGCAGAGGCTCCCTGTATAAATAATGTATAATAAATAATGCTCCCTGACCTAGAGCAAGGCTGAGATGCTGCAGTCACGTGGCAGAACTGAGATAACTGAGAGCATCAGTAAAGATTGTGCGTGGGTGTGAATCACATGAGGCACTGCAGCCTTAACATACGTATTATACACCAAAGGGTCTCCAGAATAACTGCATTAACTCACAAATGCCATTAGGAAAAAAAATAATGACATAAACACACCATAGAAAGCTAACACCTAATGAGGATAAGTCTTTCCTCTCGCTGTGTATCTTATGTGGTCTCTACAGCACTCACATATATTCCAGCTCTGTAAAGTTAGAATGGAGTCACTATATTTTACAGAGCTCCTACGCTTTGTGGTTTTCTTAAGAAGTATTAGTTTTCTCAGTACATGACTAATTCCTCATATTCTGTCCTCTCTGTTTATGGCAGGCTAAAGGGAAGAGAAAAAAATTAATAACTTCCTCCTCCTTCCTCTGTTCTCCATCCCTGACCAACACAAGAAATATGACCCACAAGCAGCCGGCATCCTTCTCTGACCCAGTGCCTGGATTTCAGTAGTGGAGTGCAGTGTGAAGAGAATCATGTTTTTGCCTTGTGCTCCTCCATTTTTAACAATAAATAAATAAATTTAACAATAAATGAAATGGGGAGTACCAAGGGAAAAGCAACATATTAGCTCCATTTATATCAGTGGCAAAATCCCAGACTTTGCCAAATATTCACAGGGATTATTCTCTCACTTACTTCTCACGTACAGAGTGAATTTTTTTGTCACGACCGTATCATCATTTTCAGCATAAAATACATATATCCCAGACTGGTGCTGATGGTTGCAGAACTTTGATGAAATGCTGTGGAGCAAAGAAAAGGAGGGAAAAGGGCAAAAGACTGATGTGAAAAAGATTTTAAATGTAGTCAGGACTCATATATATTAGAAACAATTCAACATCTTCTAACGAGGAACCCAGACAAAATTATTTTTGCTTAGAGAATATAAACCTGTCTGGTTTTGCTTAGAGAATATAAACCAGAATGTAACTGTCTTGATGAGAGTATTTGGTTTTTTTCTGCAGTATTGATTTTATTCTGCAATTTTCCTCACAGTTCATGGAGTGCATCTGGTCTGTCAGGTTGTGATTTTGTTACCAGTCCATCAGAAGACAAGGTATATAACACACCCTGGCACAGGTGCTAAGACCAGCAAAGGATCAAAGTCTCTACTCTCCAAAGGATTTTGATGGGAGTTTCTAGGTGATATGATAAACAGTATTAGGAAATAACAATGACAGGTAGGGTCATATGAGATAAACCTCTCCAAATGGAAAGATCTGATGGAAACTCAGAAATAAGATCATCATCATAAGTCCATTGTCAATGAGACAAAGCACCAACCGTCAAGATATTTCTGCAGGAGGAAGGCCAGCCTTCTACTAACCCCTATGGCGATGGCAGCAAACCAAGACCCAAACCATGCCGGAGATGGTTTGTGACAATGGAAATGGAGAGGGATGGCTCTAACAAGTCCCTGGGCAGAAGCTAATAACGGAGGAATGCAGAGACTTAAAGATTCATGCACATCTGACCCGTTGAGTCACTGGTTTATGAGACATGGGATGAGGCACGAAGGGAATATATCATCTTACAGAGATGGCATCCTATTTCTGTCCTTTTGACTAGGTTATTGCTGTCAGGACGATTGTCAGGTTTAAATGGTAGCTATTGCAGTTCATCAACATTAGAAGAGCACTTAAGAAAGTCTCTTCTTAGGTTTGGTTGCTGGCATTTTGGGGGCAGATGTTTTGGCTGATTGCTCAAGAATCACCGGGTAGGAGTCTCTCAACTCAGTTTTAGTGGTAAAGGCAAGCAGGTGTATCAGGGAGTTTGAAGCACAGGGAAAAAAAGACAGCCCATACCAGCAATTTGCAAAGTAAGAGAATGCAGTAATGAGCTCGAAATCCAGAGAACTAAACCCAGGATATTTCTCATTAAGCAAGATACAACTAAGTATCACCTCACAATTCTAAAGCAGGAGAACTCACATGGAAGCCACTGGCAATTTTGCCTTCTGACTAAAGCAACACCTCCATACGGTTATTGACTTTTGAATGTCTTCACCTGAAATGGCCTTAAAGATGTTCCTGAACTCAGGGACCTTTTAAAATCAGACCCCTTTTAAGTTGCCTCAAAATGGATACTGAAGGCAGAAGAAACTACAAATCATTCATTGCTTTCGAAATCCTAGGTCTGAAGGATTAAATCCTAATGAAATAATGAGAAAATAATTTTAAAAGCATGTCTTTGATACCTGAAAATATAAGGGGATGTGAGATAAGTATTATAAATTTAACAGAGGTCATTCTGTGTATGAAAACTCATTTGCTCTTAGGAGGGAAGTGAAAATCCGCAGCGTGCTAAAACAGAGAGGCAACAAAAGCAAATAGAAAATGGAAATTCTGAAGGAATGTCTGTAAACGTGTAAGGGTTTAGGAGGAGACAGGGGAGATGAATCCCTGGGACTTGAAATTAAAAGCTAAAGCAGCAGACAGAGATAATTAATAAAATTTAATATGATCTATAATCAGGAGGAACAATTTGATAAGGAAATGGCAGAAATCAAAAAAAGAAAAAAATAGGAAATGAAAAAGGATATGAAAGGAATAAAGTAGAAGTGTTGAGAGATGCGTTTACACAGAAGTCAACTAAAATACGCAAAGTTAGACTCACAATACATTAAGATGTGTGATGACCTTTTTTGTTTTGTTTCAAGAAACTTTCTGCTTTAAAATCACATTGAAATCTGCAGTGCTACAGCTTGCAGGCAGAATCTCCTGACCTCCCTACCCCTTGCTGCTTCTGGTCACTTCAAACGGAATGAAATATCTACCTCTACTCTTTTTCCTCAGGTGGGATGTGTCTACCCAATGCTAGTATTCAACCAAAACTGGGTAGCTGTGAGGGATGTCTGTACAGAAGAATGTAGTTGTCAGATGAAATAATCGTCAAATTCGTATATTCTTCCCTCAATTATATTTCTCCATAAAATAAATAGGTTGATAAATAAATGCAAAGTATAACTACCTAAAATGAACATTAAAAAAAAAAAAAAGATTTATTTAATCAACAGCGCAATCAGACAGATGGCCAAGTTATCTGTTTGAAGCAGCCTCCAGGCCGAGCTCCAGCGATGCTCGGGGCGGTGAGGTGGCTGTGGCCAGTGGCCGGTGGCCAGTGGCCAGTGCAGGGCTGGCGATGGGCTGAGCCAGCCCAGGACGTGCTGCTCCAGGGAGAGCGGCCGGACTTTCCCCTGCCCGGCAGATGGGGATCGGCGCTCAGCAACCGCCGCTGCTGTGCTGCAAAGGCTATCTGAAGTGACTCATAAATCCCAGGCTGCCAGCAACCTTAGCGATTAATGAGGGTTGCCTAAGCTATTTCAAGAGTTCTCAAAATTGTTATTGTTGGCCCAGTCCCTGGCACCTTCTTCTTATCTGGATTGAATTTACACCAGCTGTCAATCATCCAAGCAAAACTGACTCCTGCTCTTAGAAGCAGTGAGAAGAGGTCCATACCAGCTGCAAAGCAAATTAATTCGGCATTATCAGCTGGAGGGAGGTGCCTACTGGACAAGGATGAGCAAGCGCTCGTGGCCATCCTCTGAGACATCATTTCCAAAATCAGTCTTGACCACAAAGAACAGATCTGCCTAGCCCATGTCAGGCATTGCAGATTAGTCACTAACACCCACCCAACGCTATCAAAGTTTGCTGACAGCCCTCACTTTATCAGCAGGGACAGAGTTCCTGTGGCCATTGCCAGGAGATGACAATTTACTAATCAGAACTGAGCTGTCTCTGAACCTCATGAAGGTCTGACCCCCATACACCATCTGATGCAGATGAAAAGGCTGGTCTGTTGCAAAGATGACTCGACAAGCTAGCAGATAAAATTGAGTGTACCAAAATACTACAGAAAGAAATGATAAAAAGTGTAATCAAGGCTGTGACACAGTTTTATGCAGATGCTGAGAGAGGTTTTAAGAATATGAGAAGAAATCAGTGCAGCCATATTAACTCCTGCCTAGGTCCTGCTTGGGTTTAAAGCTAAAACTTTAAAAGAGCAGCTTGCCTTTATTTTCATTTAGGTTAATAAGAGCTGTTACCTTGAAAGCTATGGGACTACTCTGAAAGAAACTCTGAAGGAAATTAGATAATGTTATCAAGAAATTAGAAAGCCTAGGGAATGGAGAAAACATTAGCCTTAAACAGGATTCATGCCAGAACTTCATTGTAGGAAATAACAGAAAAGGTAGATAACTAACAGGTTTATTCAAAACATGTTTTGCAGCAGTGGAAGAATACATGACCTGGGTAATGAGCAGAACGGTATGTTTCTGCAGCACAGGCACAGCTGAACAGATCTAACAGTGGCCTGGGAAACTACAGGGCCCTGGACTTGATTTGAGCAGTTTGAAAGACACTGGGAACATCATCAAGAACAGGATGACAAAAGGGGAACATGTAGAACTTGTGATCCAGTATGAAAGCTGCAAGAGATCTGTAACTGAGAAATTGTATTAGAGAGAAGGGGAATGGCAAAATGCATATTAACTAGAGGGTTGCTAGATGCATAACTTACCAAAGGGTTCAGTATAACATGGAGAATAAAGTGATCCTAGAAGTTAGCTACATGAACTGCTGTTGAAAGCCAAAATAATGTTGGAGGGCCTTTTGTTAACACAGCTTTATCGCATGGCCCATCCACATTTTAAAAACACAAAGAGAGTACAAAACATGGACAGAAAGCAGTTTAAATGAGATATAAAGAAGAAAAATTATTATATCAAATTATTCCAAAATATTCAAGTACCTGCGTCCATCCACACTGTAACTTTGTTTACATGGAAACATTTTTTGGGAAGATAGCCACATGCATCTAACTGGTGGATATGCTGTAAAGTTAACTTCAAAGCAAAACTCTTCCTCACCAATTTCAAAATCGTCTTTAGAGTTGGTTATATTTATAAATCCTTTTTCTGGAAAAAAAAAAAAATTTACAAAGGCTGGACTGCTTATTGAAGGAATTTTGACATCTGTATGTTTTTCACTTTGGTTATCACAAGAAAAAAAAGCACCATGTTACATCACAAAAAGCATCCTGTTAATCAAAATAAGATAATGCTTCAAAACAGTATCGAAATGATGTCACTGTGTTCAGCTGCAGACAAATGATCTGAACCTGCTGAAGTTGCATATTCGGTCAGACCAGAGCCCTTCCAAAATGGTCCAACATTTCTCCCCAGTCTGCCCTATAGAGCCACAGGGCTAACACCACCATTATTTATTTGGTTTGGTTTAGGTGTGTGTTCCAGGTGTTAACAGCTGCATCTCCTGGCTTTCCTCTAACAGGGAACAAAACCAGGTGGCACCACCAGCATCATCAGATGTTGATAGTAGTTGGTTCTCCTTCCCTGAAATGAGCTGAAGATTTTGCAAATTAGTCTTGTAGCTGCTCCTTTATTTCTCCATCTAAATTAGACATATTTAATGCAAGACGACAGCAACATGAAAAAGTGTTTTGAAGATGTGCATGAACCATGAGCTGCTGGTACTTGCCCTGCTAGGGTGGGATGAGTTTCACCTAATGGAGCTGTCAGAAGTTCAGCGACCCACCTAAGCTACTTGTTTGGACCTCTGATAAACTCAGTAGAATGAGACAGGCATGTCCAGATGTATCCCATCCTAAAATCGAAGATAACAAAGATGTACTGAACTGCTTCTGGAAATATTTGTCTCTTGACACTGACTGCTGAAGGAACCAAAGTCATTGCTGGGGCTAGATGTCTCATGACATGAAACGAATCCCACCCAAAGAGACTGAACGGCAGACACTAGTGGGAGGAGGCTGCCCTAGAGGCATCAGTGGGGCTAGGATCAGCTCTGTAAAAATCACAGAATCATATACATTGGAAGAGATCTCTGGAGATGTCTAGTCCAGCTCCTGCTCCGAGCAGGTCCAACTAGATGAGGTTGCCCAGAGCCACGTCCAGCTGAGTTTGGGGTATCTCCGAGGAAGCAGACTCTACAACCTCTGGGAAACTTGTGCCAGTGTTTAATTAGCCACACGGTGAAAAACTGCCCTGTGGAAATATTGCTGGACTAGGTTTTTCCTTTTGAGTGTTTTTCTTCTGGTTATAACCCTATATTCTGCTTGGCATGTTTTATCTCTGCCTAGCTTACTGGTTTAAAAAATGCTATCTGGAAACTCCCATATAAACCACAAAAATGTCAGTATTTTTTTTTTTAAAAGCAATTCCTTTCATGACTGTTCTCCTACTTTCTGATATTAAAGGCTTATTGGTTTTAAAAATTGGACCTTCATCATTTGAATGATCTTTTGGACCTCATCCTTCCAGGCAGAATGTCATCTCCGTGTGTACTGTTAACAACACAACCAGCCAAGAGTAAAGACTTTCTCCAGAGTGTGCACAAGGACCTTGGAGCAGGGTATGCCATTTCTCTGGAAAACAACTCAGAAAAAGTAGTTTCTCTCTTGAAGGAGAAAGAAAATAGCACATTATTGCTTGGCTTATCATTTTTTTTGGCAGGTTTAAGTGTATTTCTGCCAGAGAAACAGTGAACTTGATTATTCAGCAATGACAGAGACATGACATGAAATTATTGAGACTGGAATCAAAGCTTTCAAGTCTCTGTATTTATTGTATTTGTTTATTTGTTGCTTTAAACCTAACATGCTGCAAAATAGCTTGCATATTCCTGAATCAAGATTGCGTAGTGCTAAAAATTCTTTAGTCAACACTGGTAGAAATCGAGCATAAGAAGTGCAGAAACAAAAAGCCTTGCAGCTGCAGTTGTTGGCATTATGTCTGTTGTGCTTTAAAGTGGCCTAACCACCCTGCCTGACCTGACCAGCTACACAAGATGGGATAAGTTGGTTGAAGCATCAATTAGCAAAGAGCAAACCAGAGCTGTCTGGCTGCAAGGCGTTACTAGAGACCAGAAGACCACCCATCAACGTAGTTATGCTAGCCAGGCTCTCCAGGCAATGCAGTATGTGCCAAACAAATCAGTTTTCTCTTGGTTAAGTTACATCATGACCATTCCCAGTGTAGCTATAGCTGCTGACTCACGCACAGCGATGGTTTAAGGGTAGGACACTGATCCTTTCAGAAACTGCAACCCTATGACATGGACAACTGAGTGAAATCTGAATCACTGCTGAAACTGAACCTGGGATGCTAACACAAATTCACACCAACAATGGTTGTCATTAATACATCGGGCTAAAGGCTGGGGTGGGTCAGAAGCACAGGATGTCCCTGTATAACCTCGGAGAGAGAAGCACAGCTGTTAGCTAGGTATGACAACATCCTCCCACTTTAATCCACCATGTAAGTAACCAAACAGATTTTTCATCAGCAAAGCCAATGAGCCCTCAGAAGTTTTGTTGGCATAAGGGGTATTAAGGACAATCATTGTGGCTTGGCGTATCTCAGTCAAAAAATACCCCACTCAGAAATACAGCCTTCCAGGGGCAGTGACTCAAATATCCCGTTACTGTGACACATACACACACCTGATAGTTTATGGATCCAAGAAGCCACTACTTCTGAACTGGGCACCAGTGCTGAGAAAGAACAGGATCTTGCCCTACCTCTACGCTACCCCCTCACCCCTACCTTCCTGTTTACTACGAAGATGTCTGTAGAAAAAATGCCCAGGTATCATACTCAGTTATTGTAAATGATGAGAGAACTTCCTGCTCAGTGGTAGGCAGAAGCTGAAAAGAGGATATTGCACTGGGAGAGTAATTTCTGAAGAGACTGGGGTAAGTATTCTCACTTCCTACCATTCCTAGCCTAGGTGTTGTAAACTCTGAGAACAGCTACATCTAAGGTCAAATGCGTGGTGAGTGCTTCAGAGCGCCTTGTTCTCAGGGCTACAGACTCCAACTCCAGGCACACCAGTCAGAAAACTACTCCCAGTGCCTACTCCAGCAGCACCGTCCTAACTACAGCTTTCCTTTTTATGCCTTATTTCCAGACTTATGCCTATGGTATCTTATTTCCACCTGAGAAACAAGGTTTGCAGTTGGGGCTGTTTTGGTCTAACTTCAACACCGCTGGCTTTTAAATCAACATGTTGCTTAAGTAGAGTGATGTTTGCTTTGGTATGCTTTTGATTTTTGAAATTTTCAGGCCTTGTGTAGCTTGGTGTTAGGAGGATGGTTCCCTTCAGTGCCTGGAAAGCAGGAGACAGGCAGAACAACCAATAACGCTGGAGTAGTTGTCTCTCTAGTTTCAGGTTTTCCTTCAGATCCATCACAGCTGCAGCAGCACTTCTGTATGGCAGCACTCGCTATTCATCATCTCTCCGGGCTTACATTCTCCATTAACACAAAAGTTTTGATTTCTTTTCTGCTATCAGTATTGGAGCTAAAATTCTTCCCCAGATTTACTTTCCCATAAAAAAATTGGCAAACTCAAATGGCCACTTGCCAGTCACTCCCTTGCCATAAGCGGAAAGGGTCATTTCTTGTTTGTTCTGGGTTTTGAGCGGGAGAGCCCACCATCAAGAACTTGCAACTGCTCGATTCCTTCCTGTCGGATCCAGGTCAGGTCTGGTACGGATTTTGTATCTGCTTTTTTTCCGTATCAGAGCAATGAGCACCTGAAGGGACCATACGAAAGAGCAGAGCAGAGGCCACGAGAGCCTCTGCCTTACCTCCCCACCTCCGAAGGCGCAGCAAAGGTGGGTTGGAGGTGCCGTACGTGAGCGAGCGAAAGGGAGATGCAGTGGGAGCGAGTGGTAAGGTGGAGACTGAGGCCACGGCTACAGCTTTTCAAAGCCCATACTGGACTCACAGCAGGACATTTCTGTCTCACATTAGTTGAAACCAGTCACTGGTCCTTCCAGACTCTGGCCAAACTAAGACATGGAGCGTTAACAGCTGAACATGCAGGGCAGGTCCTGCATTTCATATTCTTGGCCAGGTCCAGAAACAGTGTTTTCTGCAGTGCTTTACCTCTAGCTGTTTGTACGTGCTCTGCAGCTGCCAACACCTGAGTTGGTGGCAGAGAAAGGCTAAACAACTACACTGCCCAGAAAGCCCAAGGCATAGTCCCTGGGGACCCTATAGCTTTGTGTCCCCACGAAAAGCCACCATGGCCTTGCGTCATGCCGGCTGAGAGTCACCTACAATAACGTGAGATGAATCCCAGCCTGTGTTTCTAGACGTACCATTGAAACAATCATGTAGACTAGATCTCTAAACAGCTCCATCTCATTTCACTTCTAAAAGCTCTGTCTTTTTTGGGGAATTATTTGAAAAGCAATATAAAGAAAAGGTTGATTATCTTCAGGTCCAGAATGACTTGATTCAGATTAATCTCTTGGCTCTCCTGGACTGCCAGTAAGTGTAAATAGACTTTCTCCTTAGAAAAGGAACTGTAAACATTGGCTGCATACCTGCAAGCAAAGAACTGCCACATGGAAAACAAAGCAAAACAACCAACCGAGGGACAAAATTAACAGCGGGGGTTGGAATTACCTAAAACTGTAACCAAAGCAGTTTGATTCAGATGAACGGTAGAAGAACAGGTGTAATGTCCACTATCACTTCTTCCTGCCGCTGAAGCAAATGCATACTGGATCCGAACTGCTGAGTGATCTGTTTGATATTCTAATCCTTCAAACTGGCGATCCTAGTTTTCAACAGAGATTCCCATTTAATCAGTTGATAGTGCCCAATATTACCCATTTTAAAACAGGCCCTGTCTTCTTACCTGCTCAACTTCTTTGTTTTCAAAAGTTAATTTTATTCCAAATTTATAATTATGGTGAACAGCTCTGCATCTGATCAGCAGTGGTTCCCCGACTTTAAGAAGTAATTCAGGTAAAGGTGCTGCTTGTCTTTCATTTAAATCTACAAAATCAAAACATAGTCACTGAAACAACTGTCGCATTGCCTGGAAAAATGCTCAGTTAGATGAACATTTTTTCTACTAATGCTGTATAGACATGCGTTATTACACTGTAATGATAATTAGAATTTGGGAAAACTACTTATTAATCATGAAATTGATAAATTTGATGGATTTAGATGTCTCAGACCAAATTTTGTCATAATTTACAGGATATCTATAGGGCACAGTTCAGCACAGAGCTTAGCTCAGGTCAGGTTTATTTAAAAAAACAGACGAACTTGAAATTCTCTATTAATTTATAATTATTTATAAATGTATATATTTGAGAACACTTTGAAGAGCATTTCCATGCAACACAGTCCTAAAAGCATGAAGAAAAAGTTAAAAGGTGTTTAGCAAATGTAGAAGGGCAGGACATTTTTTACAGACACCACAAATAGCTATTAGAATTAGGTTTTAAACACGCAACAGAGCAACCATATTCACTGTTAGATTTGTTCCACTAATTACAAACAAGTAGCTTAGCCCAGAAAGCGTACTCAGATGAGTAGTGCAACTACAGCGGCAGGATCCAGCTCGCGTGGAAGTAAACCTTAGAGGGAAGTTACCTATTGTAAAGAGGCTGGCGCATTCTCTGCCCAGGTCATTAACTGCACAGCACCATATATAAGTTTGAAATAATTCATGTTGTACCTTCTGTATGCCATCTATTTCCCCTGTTTCTTCATGCATTTTATCAGGGCAACTGCAATTACAAGCACAATTACTCATCGACTCATTTGGTTTTAACCTCAAGCAAATAAATCTGATAAATCTGCAAGCCATGAGAATATACAAACAATAGTGGGAAAACTGGATCTTACATAGCTGAATAAAAAGGAACTAGGAAAGGTGAAGATAAGAAAATAAAAATGTCACAGCCTAGGCAGGAATATAAGCTGAAATGACCTGAATGCTCAAACTGGCTCATAGGCAGGTAAAACTGTGACTACAGTCTGGACAAGAGTGAAATCCTAGAGGCCGAGCTTTCACACCACATCTCTGAACTGCTGGTGGTGGGAGCTGGTGCAAATCCAGCAGCTGTTGTAAGACCCAGATCCCAAACCGCCATGCTGCAGAGAAAGGCATTATTCCTGTTGTTAATAGAATCAACTTTATATATTAATAGAATGGAAAGAAATCATTTAGCTCAGAAAATGACGACCCTTTGTAACATCTTCCCAGCTCTAATGCTTCAGGTGAAGTCCCCGGTGACTGGAAAAAGGGAAACATTGCACCCCTTTTAAAAAAAGGTAGAAAGGAGGACCCTGGGAACTACTGACATTTTAGCCTCACCTCTGTGCCTGGGAAGATCATGGAAGAGATCCTCCTAGAAGCTATGCTAAGGCACATGGAGGACAGGGAGGTGATTTGAGACAGCCAGCATGGCCTCACCAAGGGCAAGTCCTGCCTGACCAACCTAGTCGTATTCTATGATGGAGGGACTACATCAGTGGACAAGGGAAGAGCTACGGATGCCATCTATCTGGACTTCTGTAAGGCCTTTGACACAGTCCCCCACAACATCCTTCTCTCTAAATTGGAGAGATATGGATTTGATGGGTGGACTGTTTGGTGGATGAGAAATTGGTTGGATGGTCACATCCAGAGGGTAGTGGTCAACAGCTCGATGTCCAAATGGAGATCAGTGACAAGTGGTGTCCCTCAGGGGTCCATACTGGGACCAGTGCTGTT